GCTGAAAATGGATACGTTAATTCTGCACACGGGCTATTCCCAACGCCGATTCCATGGAATACTAAAGTATCTCATCTAGCAAAATTGAAAACCAAGTTCAAATTTCTTGGGAAATTTATGGCGAAGGCGATATATGACTCCAGAATGGTAAAAATCGTCATTAATCTGCAAAGTTTTTTGCAACAGGTTTCCTCTCGATCATGTACTTGTAATGCGTTTAATCTTTTCTCATTTTAGTTGGATTTGCCATTTAGTTTAACTTTCTATCGCTGGTTGTTGGGAGAAGAGCATACGCTCACATTAGCAGATTTAGCACATGTTTGTCCCGACGTGCATCGTACTCTCAGCAAACTTCAAGAGGTTGTGAGGAGAAAAGAAGCTACGGAAAAAGATCAGACATTACGGCCGCACGAGAAAGTGCAATTAATCGAGGCGCTCGATTTAGACACGTGCCCAATTTCCGATCTGGGCCTCGTGTTCGAATTGCCAGGTTATGAGAACATTGAATTGAGAAAGGGTGGCAGCGAAATATCTGTTACTATTCATAATTTGGATCAATATATTAAGGTAAGTTTATGGTAATATAGGTAATATAGTGGTGCATTGACGATGCTTTTCTTTGCCGGTGTCGCTCGAAAAATATCATGTGTTCATGCAATTTCTATAATATTACAGTTGGTAGTACATTGGTTCTTATACGAAGGAGTATTTAGACAAATGGAAGCATTCCGGGAAGGTTTCGAATCTGTATTCCCTCCGTCGCAATTGAGACTATTCTTCCCGGAGGAGTTAGAGGCGGTATTCTGTGGGCACGCACAAACCGGCGGACAGTGGGACATGAAAACTCTTGCAGAGTGCTGTAGGACCGATCATGGCTACACACCTGACTCACGCGCCATCCGTTTTCTGTTCGAAGTTATGTCTAAGTACAATAGCGAGGAGCAGCGACAATTCATTCAGTTCGTTACTGGCTCGCCACGCTTGCCCGTTGGAGGTTGATATATTTTGGCTTTTTAATTTTTTATTCGTCTTTGTATAATGAGTCACATAATGAAATTCACGCGATTAATTTTTTTTATAGGTTTCAAGAGCTTGACACCTCCATTAACAATAGTGCGCAAGACTTTCGATCCATCTATGAAAACCGATGATTTTCTACCATCAGTAATGACTTGCGTCAACTACCTAAAACTGCCTGATTATACTACTTTGGAAATAATGCGGGAAAAGTTGCGGATAGCTGCGCAAGAGGGTCAACACTCGTTCCATCTCTCCTAGAAACGGTGGATAGGAGATCGGCGCGTCATTTTTTCTCCTTTATTACATTGTCTCTTGTATTACTTTTACATTATTCAGACCGAGAGAATTATCCGAACTGTATTTAAAGTCTATGTAAAATTACGCGCATTTTCAACGAGCGAGCAAATCCAGTGACAATGGTTTTACTCTTTATATGAATTCTCTTGTGAAGGTATTCTTTTTTCTCATTTCTCGTAAAATGCTATATATTGGAATAATTCTTTTTTTTGGTGTTTATATCTCTTTATCTACCGATATTTAGATTGTGATATACTTTGACCAGGAAGAAAAGTGCAAAGCTGCATAATTATTAACCAAACCGCGTGAGTTTATTCTTTCGCGGTGCTAAGAATCGTGTTGCTTGCGAGCGACCTCGTTTTAGGGGGGAAAAACTTATCTTCAATGTGTTACAATAAAAAAAAGAAAAAGATTGTAAATATAGTTTAATATACGCAAGTCGATATAAATACTTTATATGATAGTAACAAGAAATAATATTGCTATGAAACACTATACTAACTAAATATAATATAGCCCGAAAGAGAAAGAGAGAGGGAGGGAGGGAGGGAGGACGTTTACTAGCATAAGTAAATTTTATATCAGTGATGCATTTAAAAGCATCGCCATACATCGCCAATACTCCGCGTCCCACGATCGCGGAAAACTCACGAGCTAAAATCAGTAAAGAAACGCGCACGTCCGCAATGGGAGGGTGCAACCGCGTGTCTTATGTTGAAAGCAAAGCTAATATTCCGGATACACATACACAGTGATTGCTATTCTCTATTTTGTAATCGATCTCTTCATGTTCGCTGTTTAAGTTCCAACGATCGAAAATGCAATGCGCGAATTATTATGTTGCGCAACACTCCTACATTTAAGTTTAATCGATGTGTAACATCTATTAATATTATTTGATATTTTTTTCTAGACATAAATTAGTCCAATTATTACTTTATTTAGCTGTATAAGAGAGTGCAACCAGAATCGTCAGAATCGCCGTCGTGACATATATGAACCGAAGAGAAATTCGGATATCCATTTACTTACAGGCAAATCGTCGTATTTATGAAAAAACAGAAAATGTAAGAGAACTGTATCATACAAAATAGAACAGATATAAAAAGAGTGAAGTTGGTGTATCAAATGGATAATACAAGGTACATTACTTTTTTATGTCGTTATAAAAACGCGGAATCTATATAAAAACTATGAGAAAGAAAGAGTATGTGAAGCAATCTATCTAAACCGTTTGTTTCAAATTTATATTACGAATTTTCGTACACAATGTATATGATCTCGTGCACACGCGACAGCCGGCGTTTTCTCGATTTTGTTGTATTTTCCAGAACTATCGGCTCGTTTGAGAATATTCGACGAAAAATAGAAGTTACAATTTACTTTATGTTGTTATTAATAAATCAAAACGTAACATTTGCATTTTTTTAAAATATACCACACACTGACACGACGATTTACGTTATATTTTGACGCTTTAAAGCGTGAACGATATATTTACATAATTATTTTTAATTTCTTAATTTTTTTTTACGAGAGACAATTTGCGCGTATATTTTGCAAAGAAATGATTCATCGAGAGGAAAGAAATACATATAGGAAAACTGAATATACATCCTTATGAAATATGTAACAGTTCAGGACACACGATCCACAAACCTATGTCATTAATATTATCAAACAAAAGATATATTTATATCGATTAAGTAGTATAAACGAATTTTATTTTATTCAAATTAAATGTTTTTTTTGTAAACAAAAGTTTTATAAATATAAATATATATAATAATAAATTTGCTCAATGAATGTATCTTTTAAAATACATCGGATAAGACATAAGAATCAAAGGGAATTACATAAAAGAAACGTACTATTCTTTTTTATCTAAGGAATTAAAGGAAGATAAAAATAATGAAAAAATTATATTTTTTTACTTTCTTTTACATATCTTAAAAAAAAAAAATTATAATTATTGGCTCAAAAACATGCCCGATACCAATATGTACTTACATTGTAAAAAATTATTCTACATAATTTACTCTTATAATATTTTTGTTTTTCTCCTTTTTTTTTTATAAATCTTTAACTCTTATGATATTATTAATATTAGCAAATATTGTATTCATTTTTATGCAATATTCCATATTTTTTTTTGGATTTTTGTTTTACTTATTGTGTGTATGAAAACTTATCCACTTACAATATTTAAAAAAACATACTGCACCACGCTAATATGAAACAGAATCCTCCAATTGGAGTTGTTGTACTAAATCGTCGATCACCGACGAATGCTGTATAATAACAGCTACCACAAAAAAGTAAGATCCCAGAAAGAATAAATGTAGCAGCCTGAAAACATGCGCATGAAATAATTATATATTAATATACGTCTTCTACGCGATATAATACGATTATAGATAGGGATAGCAATATTTACCACAGTTGGGAATCTGCATAAAGGTAATCCCAACAAGGCTAATGTATGGATAAAATGATATCGATTTGCAGTTTCAAAAATACGACGTTGCTCCTTCCCTATCTCATCCTTGGAATAATATCCTACAATGCAAAAACAGATTCTAAAACTTATATTCACACAAGTTTAAAATAATACAAATGCGATTACCGAGCAATTCACTTACTGTGGGATCCAACAGCACCAAGGATCACTGCTGCTGCACCACTGATAGCTGCGAGCTTTACATAAGGACCACTGGCAGCGGCTAATTTCCATAAAGGTACAGGTGGTGCCATTTTAATTTCTACTTTGGGTTTTAATCCCAGGTAATCCGTCGCCTATAAAAGAGGTTGTAATTAGTAAATTATTAGCTTTTCTATAAATGCTTTATATTTATAAAAAAATTATTTATTATATATTCTATGCAAATGGTATATATTTTCGTATTGTTAACATATTCAAAATTACTAACAGTTTACCAAATTTAATAAATAACTAAAACTGAATATTATATATCAAGTTTTCACTTATTTACTTTTATTAATTATTATTATTATCAGAACCAATTAAGAGCGATGTTAGATAAGTAAAACATTTAAAATTATTTATACATACATTTGTATAAAAGAAAAGCGATAAACAACATGATATTGCTCTTCTAATAGACAAACATAAAAATGCAAAACTTCATTGAATGTCAAAGATTAATGCACATGATAGTAAGATTGCAGAAATCATTGAATCAAAATGACAAAGTTATTAATACAACATTGATTTTAAACTTACTGCATTTGTGACAAACTGTAACATGTTAGCATACAAATAAGTGTGCAAATTTTACCAATAACATGTAATTCACAATAAGTTCGTCGTTTTTTTTGTTTTTAGTTATACAATAGGTCTGTTCTTTTTTTCAATTTTTCTCAATCTATGTTTTCTCTTGCAAATTTCTTTTTTTTTTATATATACACTATGAAACGCCCGAGTATATTTATTTCACATACATATATTACTGCTATAAAAAAAGTCAATTGTCTGATGCCGTGCGAAATGGGTCTACTGGGCGATCGAGGAAATTAGCGCAAGATTCCTCCATTGTTTTACAAGGATATTAAAAATCAAAATATGCAACAGCTTACCGATGAAGCCGCACCCCAAGCATACGAGGCAGTTCCCACACTAGTTTTGTAAATTACGTTAAACGGTGTGGTGACTACCGTATACACGGCGTCTTGCAAACCCATCTCTAATCGCGCGTCACTGTACACAAAGCAAAGCAAGATATATAATTTATATGTTACATACCAAGTGTATTAATGATGTCAGGTGTATTAATGATGTCCGATGCAAGAATGCGCCCGTGCAAAGATGCACTCGATGACACGACTCTTTCGCTGTTTGCAAGCGTAAAGCAGTTAAATCATGCGATTAATCACGCGAAAAAAAATTAATAATGATATATATAATACACAAAAAAACTTCACCGTTGTAAAAAATTTCACCGTTAAACGTATAAACGCACCGAATATCATTAATCCGTTCCATATACTCACCAGGCAAAAGCTTTTGTTGCAATTCAGATTACCGGCAATAACTGGCTCAGCAACATATGTACAAAAAGTATACTTTGTTGGACAAATCCCACCGGCTGTCTGTACACTTATGTGAATGACGTCACCGTCCACATGACTGACATCGGCAGGCTCGAATCTGGGTGCAATGTGCAATATAGGACACTTCTAAGAACCATATAAATTGTTTGTCTGTTTTTATTAATGCTAATAAGCCGGTTATAGACATAAATTAATAAACTTTATTATTTTGATTTGATAGAAAATTATATATTATTTTTCTTAACTAATTTTCCTATTTCTTGTGAGGGGTATAATCATACCTTTATTACAGTAAAATATGTGCTAAGATCAGCTATCGCTTGCGCACGCGTGGGATTTGTTCCACGATCTACGCTGCACGTAAAGGTGCCTTTACATGGCAGCATTAAGCGTCGAGCGTCTGCGCAGAAAAATGCGCAGAATTTAAAAGAGATAGATTCTAGGCTGAAATTAGATTCTGCGCAATTTTCTACGCAGACGCTCGACGCTTGACGCTGCCATGTAATGGTACCTTAAGCGTAAGTCCATGATATGTAAAAAAGTTTAGTCGTGCTATATAACTGTAAGCAAATCAACCAATCACAATCAAAAATTCTTACGATATTGTGAAAATGTTTGACTATGAATGGTCGATTTGATTACACTTTAATAAATCTTTTCCACATGTCGTGGTCTTTACTCTGATGGAATAAAGAAGATAATAATTCTATGTAAAAAAATAATAGCTTTATACTATTTTTTCGATTGTCTCACCAGAACATCCTGTAGTTCACATATATAATGTACTTGTGCGATATGTTTTGCAAATCACAGTTTCAATACTATCAAATCCAATCTTTTATACTGCAAATCAGTTTCAATATTGTTAAATTCTATTTTTTATCTATTTTTTATACTGCAAATATATATATTATTATAAAAAAAGAATTTTTTTGTATTTTTATTTCTATGTTCCATAAAAATACTTTTATATAATATTATATATAATCATATCTTAGATTAAGGAAAGCAATGTATTGTTATAAATGTTGTATATTGTTAAGTATTACTCATTTGTGGTACTGCTCGATTTTCCGCTTGCATATAAAATTGCTCTCCAAACCATTCCCTATGCATCTCCAGATAGCTAAATGTATATTATATTATTATTTTTGGATGTGGTATGTAAGATTTATTGATCATTGTTTATATAAAAAGAATTATATCTAATTATATTTTACTACATACCTTAGAAACATATCCAAATATTTTAGGAGTACTTTCAATTTTTTACTTGGCATATCTGTGGATTGTAATAACTCAGGTAACTTAACTGAAATTAAAAAATGATATGGAATTATTTTTTAAATATGCAAGTTTTTATAATGTTGCACGTGTAATGTATGCTTTACATAAACATATACATATATATATTCTCATAAAGGGAAAGATAACTTACCAAATAATCTAGTTAAATGAATGACACCATAATAAGTAGATGGATTTGTTGAATTTTCGCCTTGTTTCGAAGCTTGAGGCATTAATCTCCATTTATTTGCTTGTTGAAGTAAAGCATTTACTTGAGCAGATGTAACAACAGGCGGCATTCTTAGTGTTACACCTCGTGGGCTAGAACAACGGGAACTTGTACTTGCTATGCTACTAAAACAAAAATAATCATAAAAACATTATATCTAGTATTAAAAAAAGCAGAAAGAAACAAGAACTTTTCCATTACATTATATGCGAGAATAACTTAGTTTTAATAAAAGATATTTATAAAATAGGAATTGTGCAAAAGTAAATAATGTAATTTATAAAAGTAAAATAACACTTTATTACCTCGATAAATTACCGCCATCTTGCTTTCCTTCGTCATACGATCTTAACTGCCGGCTTTCATCGACTGAACTTACACGACACGATCGCAATCTACGCTTAGAATTGTTTGATGGCTTAGATGTATTGTCCATCTCTGAATCATGTTCTTGAAAAGGTGGTAAATGAGCATATTCTGCATCTTCAAATTCTTCTCTTGACGTTTCCAGATTCCTTCCAATGATGAAGATATCTTTTTATTAATTCAAACAATAAATCTTACTTATTGAATTCTTAATTTAAAATTTAAATTAAATATTAATCAAAATTTTAATTTGAACATTATTTTGTTAGCAGAAAAAATACAATATATATTTACTCAATTGGTTCTTCTTTTGTAACAATATTTGCTTGCTCGTTACATGATAAAGCAGATTTTAGAGAAAAATATTGCTCCTTTTCTTGTCTATATAGGAGAAGATGAGGTAATGTGACATCAAAATATATGCGTAAACCATCCGCAGTTTCTCTGCATATATTTACTTCATTCACTGTTTTTTCTATTGTATTATTTGTTTTATTCCGCTGAGGTTTTTCTGGAATATTTGTCAATTGAGTTGTAGTAAAATGTTGCACCCAGGATTCCAAAATATTTATCACAGTAGGTTGTGCAGGAAGAACTACAAGCTAAAATAAATATTAATGATGTTTATGCTTTGTCTTTTGTGAAAAGATTAATTATTTACGTATAAGCCGAAATTTTATTAAAAAATAAAGATTTTTTTCTAAATCTTCAATTAGAAATAAAGATTAAAGAAAATCTAAACAAGTGATGTCTGTACATATGTGTGTGTATAAGTGATGTATTATAATTTCTATTATGATTGAAAAATTACTCAATAAAAAATACCTTGTTTTTATTTGTTATTAGCTCATGATCCTGTTCTAAAATCCGTTTTAATGTACTACCTATATCAATATCAATTCCTGGCTTAATACTGGCTCCAGATTGGCTACCTCCACCACTGTCTTCATCGTCACTTGTTTCACCCATATAATCAGAACTGCTCTCTGTGTCTTCTTCTGTGTTTACTTCCTAAATTGTAATTTTATATGCAATTCTTATCTTTAAACTTTGCTTTATTACTCATTGTTAGGAAGTGTAGATATTTAGATTAATTACATTGTACAATTCAAATAATTATTGTTGATGATCATTAAGGCATATAGTATCAAGACAATTAGAGTATATCGTCTAACTTGTCTAATAAAAATAGCTTTTTTAAAGCATTAGAGATATTCGTACATATCTTTATTATAATCTAGTCTTCATAATGTAATTTAAAAATGAAATATTTACTTCTGTATCATAATCAGCATGCTGTCCCGAACTACCATCTTCTGAAGATCCAGTAGTAGCTGATGTAGCACGGCTGCCACCGCTTCTTGCTCTACGACGAGATTCTTGATGTTCTGTTTCAGCTAAGCGTTCTGACATTTTATGACTTCTTTTCTTGCGTTCACGGCGATATAAATAAGCACCACTGTTTTATTGAAATAGATAATATATTAATTAATTTGATTTTCCACATAATATTAGATCAACTTCAAAAATACATACAGTTGAAGCTGTGCTTTTTGTGCTAAATCTCGTTGAAGTTGGCGATTTTCTTCTGTATCTTTAAGCACATATTCTTCTGTCACACAACGGTCCCAAGATGAATTCCAACCCTTACATATATAATAATAATAATAAATTATATTTATATATATATAATTTTTTTAAATATGATATTTATCAATTCTAATATGATTCCTATAACTAAATAGCAGTTATTAAATTTTTTGTAACTCACTTGAAAATGTATGAGATATTCAACAGCTTTTCTTCCTCTTTGATCTTTATTTACAATAACGTCAAGTACCTGCAAATTTATAATATCATTATTGTTTGTAAATTAAATGCAAATATATATTTAACAATATATATTACCTTCGAATCATATAATACTTTTGCTTTTGTAGGATCTGGTTCGTAGCATAATACTTTTTCTCCATCACAAAATTTAAATTTCGGTCCTCGTGTTGACACCATTGTAAATATTTACCAGAATATAACACACAAATATTTGAACAAAATTCAGAGGTCACTAACATAACCTATGTAACTGTTAATCAGTCAAGTCAAAAGCAAAACATAAATGTACTTAGTATCTATATTAAATTCCGAAGCATAACTTAACTCTGACCATCATAATCTATCTTAATTTAGCTTTATATTATTATTTATATAATCTATTGTCAACTATAAAGATATTTTTTTTAACGTATCCCAGTCAGTGACGCCAGTTCGGCGTTTCGGGCTCCGGGCTCCGGCCTCTGGCTAGCGCGCTTTGGAAGAAAAGCAGAAAAGGAGCATAAAAGGACGGATATACTATAGACCTCAAAGGGTGCGTTCGAAAATCACTCTCGTGGGGTAGAGTAGTTTTAAATTGACCAGGACAAAAAGAGCAAAAAATCTTTGCTCTTTTTGTCCTGATTGGTTAATTTAACGCTATTTTACCCTACGGAAAGGATTTCCAAATGCACTCAAGTAGGTTTTCCACTTGGGGTCTGTCAGATGTCAGATCCCAATTAGCTTTTCTACTTGGAGTATGCAAAAGAGCTCGTATGTATATGTATAAATACAATCATGGACAAAAAATATAAATCTTCTATTCAAGCTTCTTTATTATTAAATAGCTGTTTTCCTCTAAATTGAAATTCTTCTTTTTCTGCATTTTGCGTTACTCTCATTATTTATATTTGCCATATGATCACGAGAGGTTTCGAATATGCATGGCGACATATGTATCTTCTATCTTTTACATGCTTTCTCATTCTAAGTTAATTGCACGGATGCTCTCTGTGTCTTCTTCTGTGTTTACTTCCTAAATTGTAATTTTATATGCAATTCTTATCTTTAAACTTTGCTTTATTACTCATTGTTAGGAAGTGTAGATATTTAGATTAATTACATTGTACAATTCAAATAATTATTGTTGATGATCATTAAGGCATATAGTATCAAGACAATTAGAGTATATCGTCTAACTTGTCTAATAAAAATAGCTTTTTTAAAGCATTAGAGATATTCGTACATATCTTTATTATAATCTAGTCTTCATAATGTAATTTAAAAATGAAATATTTACTTCTGTATCATAATCAGCATGCTGTCCCGAACTACCATCTTCTGAAGATCCAGTAGTAGCTGATGTAGCACGGCTGCCACCGCTTCTTGCTCTACGACGAGATTCTTGATGTTCTGTTTCAGCTAAGCGTTCTGACATTTTATGACTTCTTTTCTTGCGTTCACGGCGATATAAATAAGCACCACTGTTTTATTGAAATAGATAATATATTAATTAATTTGATTTTCCACATAATATTAGATCAACTTCAAAAATACATACAGTTGAAGCTGTGCTTTTTGTGCTAAATCTCGTTGAAGTTGGCGATTTTCTTCTGTATCTTTAAGCACATATTCTTCTGTCACACAACGGTCCCAAGATGAATTCCAACCCTTACATATATAATAATAATAATAAATTATATTTATATATATATAATTTTTTTAAATATGATATTTATCAATTCTAATATGATTCCTATAACTAAATAGCAGTTATTAAATTTTTTGTAACTCACTTGAAAATGTATGAGATATTCAACAGCTTTTCTTCCTCTTTGATCTTTATTTACAATAACGTCAAGTACCTGCAAATTTATAATATCATTATTGTTTGTAAATTAAATGCAAATATATATTTAACAATATATATTACCTTCGAATCATATAATACTTTTGCTTTTGTAGGATCTGGTTCGTAGCATAATACTTTTTCTCCATCACAAAATTTAAATTTCGGTCCTCGTGTTGACACCATTGTAAATATTTACCAGAATATAACACACAAATATTTGAACAAAATTCAGAGGTCACTAACATAACCTATGTAACTGTTAATCAGTCAAGTCAAAAGCAAAACATAAATGTACTTAGTATCTATATTAAATTCCGAAGCATAACTTAACTCTGACCATCATAATCTATCTTAATTTAGCTTTATATTATTATTTATATAATCTATTGTCAACTATAAAGATATTTTTTTTAACGTATCCCAGTCAGTGACGCCAGTTCGGCGTTTCGGGCTCCGGGCTCCGGCCTCTGGCTAGCGCGCTTTGGAAGAAAAGCAGAAAAGGAGCATAAAAGGACGGATATACTATAGACCTCAAAGGGTGCGTTCGAAAATCACTCTCGTGGGGTAGAGTAGTTTTAAATTGACCAGGACAAAAAGAGCAAAAAATCTTTGCTCTTTTTGTCCTGATTGGTTAATTTAACGCTATTTTACCCTACGGAAAGGATTTCCAAATGCACTCAAGTAGGTTTTCCACTTGGGGTCTGTCAGATGTCAGATCCCAATTAGCTTTTCTACTTGGAGTATGCAAAAGGGCTCGTATGTATATGTATAAATACAATCATGGACAAAAAATATAAATCTTCTATTCAAGCTTCTTTATTATTAAATAGCTGTTTTCCTCTAAATTGAAATTCTTCTTTTTCTGCATTTTGCGTTACTCTCATTATTTATATTTGCCATATGATCACAAGAGGTTTCGAATATGCATGGCGACATATGTATCTTCTATCTTTTACATGCTTTCTCATTCTAAGTTAATTGCACACGGACTAAAAAAAAATTTTAGGATAAAAGAAGAAAAGACCGAGAAAAACTCGATTTTAATAAGTTTTATATAGAGGAATTTCGACACTGTAATATAATATAAATATAGATAAAGAAATTAAATAATTTTATGTTTAACATGGAATATGATAAAACAGTAAAATATTATTCGTGTAACAGGATATACACACATATTAATTTTTCAAGAATTTATTTTTTATTGCTACATAAATATATTATCATATATTAAAATTTAAATTATTCTCTTTGAATCCAAAATTTTATATATTTTGTAATACATTTTTTCACATAACTTCCATCTATACATACATATGTATATATATATATATATATATATATATATATATATATATACATATATTTTTTCTTTTATATATTTTCTATCATATTTCATATTTAATTGTATTTTTCAGATGCGGATTAGCGTGTAGTATTAAAATCATATACAATTGTTACAATATTTAAATAGTACTTATTACATATATATATCATACCGATAAGGCTTAGATATACATATACATATATATATATATGTATACATATATTTTTTCTTTTATATATTTTCTATCAATATATATATATAATCCATTCATCTGTCATTATTTCTTTAATCATTTCTAAGGTCTAATATAAATTCTTACTATAGAAACGTCGTAAACATTTAAAAATAAAAAAACTAAATTCATTTTTTAATAAGCTACATTACGTATTCTTTTTAGAACATATTTTTACACTTAGATCAATAGAACGTGCTTTGAATAGCGAGCAAAGGGAAGAAATGACACTACAGAATGTCATCATTGTACAATAGTAATAATGAAACTAAAATTGGAAATTGAAATACAAGATGTTAGAAATGAATGCAAATAAATTAAAAATTATTTAATTACATTACAAATAAATTACAAATTTGTTGAATTAATTTGTTCAATGCACGCTATTCCTAGCAAAGAATTATATTTAGTGATCCGCAAGTGTACTTCAGCAATACGAAACATACATAATTTATAATTATTAAATCACAGAAAGCTACTTTAAATTGTGCCATATCAATTCAGTACATATAATTTATGTAAGAATACTTATCTCTTTTCCTCTTAAACATGATTGGCACAATTATGGATAATATTAAAATTAATTTTTGAAGCACAGTAAAATAATTTCAACTAACATCCATCAAAAACATTCATTCTTAAGACCATTTCTCAATCAATGTCTCTTTGTATCTTTTCATGTATTGCATGACAAGGCGCAAAATATTTAATTATGGTAGCCTGACCATATTTTTATCAATTATACAATACACCACAGAAATTTGTATGTTCACCATACTAATACAAATACGGCAGACACAAAAATCTATTTCCATTAGTTTTTTATTTCCCAGCTGGTGGAAAAAAGACGATTAATAGATGTAGATTGATTTTGTCTGAATAATCATTTATATATAATCTTTCTCTCTATATATATGCTGATTATTATATATATATGTATATATATATAAAATATCATATAACTCAATATTGTGAAGTTTAGCATTATGTATACAACATAAGTACTATACAATCACGAAAACAATAGCTAAATGATTATGCATTCCATACAACAATTCATAAATACCAGACAATTCATTCTTATGGATTGGCAAGACATGTTGCATTTACAAGGACTATGGACTATGCGGATACTTTTTATGTTTGAGGCAGAAAACTTTTGAGATCTCCTGAATGCAATATCCAATACTATTACCTGTCTCGTTTTTAGGTATTTGCATATCATTAATGTTTCGATGATGAGTAATGATGAGTAATATGCAAGATTATGCGAGACAAATTCAAATAACTTAAGATACAACAATTAGTTTTTATTTTTTTGTCCCTAAATTAATATGAATGTTATATCTAAGACAAGAAGAGAAGAAAGCATAATGCTAAACTTCTAAATAGAACCGTTTACCCAATAACATCAACAATGCTATCTAAAATTAATATGAATGTTATATCTAAGACAAGAGAAGAAAGCATAATGCTAAACTTCTAAATAGAACCGTTTACCCAATAACATCAACAATGCTATCTACATACAACATACAAATTATGTTAGTGTCGGATTTCCTTTTACACATAGCAATAAACATTAAAATTTTAAAAAGGATACATTTAATTAAAACAAAGAATTGTTAACATTTTTATGTCAGTTCTAGCTAAAAAAAAATATATGCATATATATAAACGAGATTCGTTTCTATTATATCAAATTTTAAATGCAATTACAAATATAAATTATATTGAGATCTGCTTATTACAAGTGAAGATATCTGATTTAAACAGAGTATGTAAAATAATATTCTTAATTATCAATCATCTTGTAATAATCAAAAGCGATAAGCAGACGTTTTAGAAAATTAGATAGAAATTTTACGTAAATGCTGCTGTGTATAACAAAATTTTTCTAATGTGCGATTTTCTTTGGTTCAATTTTTAGATAAAAATATTAGTCATATTTCCAACAATGCCATAGTTTAATATAAACCACTGCATTTGACAAAAATTTGATTATCTGTGGAATGCACGAAAAGTACAATTAATATTATGATAAACCTATCCGACTGATTACTATCAGGTCAGAGTTAATCACAGAAGTTTACACACCGTACAATTTTAACTTATTTCAGTATTCGTGCATCTCATGTTCTATTATAAACAAACGGCTCTTAATAATATTAAATTCCAAGGAAGATCAAATATAATAGAAAAAATGCTTCTTTTTTAATATATCAAAATGCATCAACTTCATTTTTGATAAAAAATGAGATAAGGGAGAAATATATTAACTCTCATCTCCGGCCATATTGATTTCAATTAGACAGGTCTATCATATTGTGATATATAATTCTTATTTATCTATAATTACAAAATAAACTTTAATTATTATAGTTTAACAAATTATTGTAATTATCTGATACTGTGTTTGCATTGTCATTGCATATAACGTTTTCTTAAATATTAGAGAAGATGTTGGAGAATCTTTTCTAACATTTTTGATAGATAAAAATAATCCCTGCAGCAGTTTTGCCATTAAATACATTTTTAACTTAAAATATTAATTAGTTAGCATACCCCTATTCGCCAATGAATCTTTTAGTGTTTGGAAAAGTTGCAGCTGTTGCTCTGGTTTCAAACTATAAACCTAGATCAGAAAGTACATATCCTTTAAAAAATTAATTTTACTTATACATGTTGTTATACATTGATATATAATACAAAGAAAAAGATTAATATCGAGGAAACTTAATACTGTAAAATAAACAACTTCATTGTTACATTACCTGCTGCAATAACTTCTGAGGTGATGCAGTATGAATAAATGAAGAAATATAGACGTTCACGAATGTTGCCATTAAATACTGACAATCAAATCTGTCCATTATTCCACCATGACCAGGAATTACATCACCGAAATCCTATAAAACCATTATCAAAATCAGTAATTTTCTAAATAGGATACCATACGTAAACACTTATAGGTTTGATAAAGTATAAAATTAAATTACCTTAATTTTGAACGCCCGTTTAAATCCACTAGCAAAGAATCCTCCAAATGGCCCAATTACAGAGCTGAATACTGACATTGATAATGAATGCAGAATAAATGGATATAACGTCAAAGTGGACTTTCCATTGAACTGCACATATTGAAAGACAATTGAGTACTCATATATCATATGATTAAAGTATTCTTTAGACAAAAAATATTTTACCATTCTTGATATCACTTGAAGACTGTTTGGCAATGTATACTCTTGTGGTTGGAATAAACTTGATGGTTCGCAATCCATAGTCATTCTTCCTAAAGTTTCACTATATTCAATAGGACAAACAAAATAGCGATACTGGCACATGACATAAGACATCTAAAAACAATATATCATATTAGCATATGATAACTGTACTTAGTTTTCATTTATTATTTATATGAAAAACATGTTACCATTAATCCAAATATGACAGTCGAGATACCACCACCAATGAAGCCCTCCCAAGTTTTTTTTGGAGATAATTTTATTAATGGTGTTCGTCCGAAAAAGAAACCAAACATATATGCCATTACATCATTTATCACAATCATACTAACAGGGACAATGAACCTAAAAGCAATTGTGATATAATTGATAAAATACATCTACATGTATATATGTAAAAAAGATTTATATATATATTATAGTAATAAGTCTGAAATAGAGTAAATACATACCATATCAATCCTTCAAATATATTTTGGATAATAAGATAGCTCTGTGTCACAACAATAAGTAATGCAACATGTGTCCAAGCAAATAGAGAGAATTGCTTCATATAATATTTTTTCACAAGTGAGAGTACAAACCATACAAAACCAACAATGTAAAGACAGAATGAAACAAATCGATGGTATGTAACAAGTACGCGCAGATATCCCTAAAGACAATAAAAATCGTAATTATTATCTGCATTTATATATAATGTATTAATTTTTTAATATAATATTGTTCTTATTATTTTTCCTTCATTTTATTATTTCTCTGTGTTAGATAACTTTAACAGGGAAGCCCCACACAATGTTGAAGCCATAATAAAACTATTGCTATAAAGCTTTATCAAGGTTTTGATATTGATTTAACTTAATATTCATAACATATGTAATGTTCTATAAATGATCTTTAAAATATCACACAAAGCAAGCAGTATAGTAGTAGAATTTTGTAGGGATGTCTGTATTTTTCATATAAATTACATGATTCAAAGTTGAAGAAAAAGTAATACTTACAGTTCGATTAATCACCACTGCAAAATAGTCCATTAAATTTTCTCCATAAAAGAAGTAATTGGAAGTTATCAAAAAATACCACGATAAGGATCTGAACCATGGTAGACCATGAATTCTATATACAGCGTACCCAATATTAATAATTTCTTCAAAGCATTTCACTTGCACAATCAACGTCTATAATAATTAATGTAATATTAAATAGAAAAAAGATATATATATATA